CAAAATTTGGCCTTGCCTGACTTTTTAAAACTCTGTTGGAACACAGTTCATTAAGTTACTGCTTTCACACTACAACTGCAGTTGAGCAGTTGCAACAGAGATAGTTTGGCCCATAAGCCTAAAATATTTACTACCTAGCCCTTTATAACAAACTAGAGGCCTGATATATGATATTTGTGCACAGGGGGTCCCCTCAGCCCAGCCTGCACCCTCTCCAATCTGGGACCCCTTTTGGGGGACATCCCTCTTACAATCCTGGACCACTGGCTCCTAATCACTCACCTCACTGCCTGCCTGGTTGCTACTAACTTCCCCGCTGCCACCCTGATCGTCCCTCACTGCCTCTGCATGGAAGCCTGATTGCCCCTAACTGCCCCCCTGCCAGCCAGGTCATCCTTAACTGCCCCCTCCCTGCCAGTCTAGTTGCCCCTCACTGCCCCCCCTGCTAGCCTAATTGCCCCCAACTCTCCTCCTCCTGCCAGTCTGGTCGCCCCCAACTGTCCCCCCATGCCAGCCTGGTCGCCCCACGCAGCTTGCTTGTTCAGTCGTTTGGTTGTCCCTCACTAACCCCCCTGCCAGCCTGGTTGTAGGCAGCCATCTTGTGAGGGCATGAGGGAGATATCTGCATATTACCTCTTTATTATATAGGATGTTTGCCAATTTGATGTAGAGAACAAAATGCAAGATGGATTATTTTAAAGAGGCATAGTATTCTCTATCATTGTTTTCTTTTGTACTCCTGAATATAGAAAAATATTCTACCATGTCCCAGTTAAGCTATAGTGAAACAAAAACAAAGCCCTATCTCTAGATATGGAACAGAAAGTCAAAGGGTAAGTCGTGCCCCTGGCAGCTATAATGGGGATAGCAAATAACACCAAGGGCTGGTGGCAAACTCAGGGTACGGCTCTGCCATTATCTGCTCCTCTAGGGCCAACCTCAAAAGGCAATGTTTCTTTTTCCTTATTTTACCCAACAACAAAGATAGACTTATTTGGGGTTTTTTTTGTTTTTAATTGGCATGGAATTAACAGATAATAAAATTTACTAATTTTAGGTGTACAGCCTTAAATATATATATGAGGCTATCACCACCACTACAATCATATTGAACACTTCCATCACCCCAAAAAGTTCAAATATAGTATTTCTTTGTAGTCAGTCCCTTCCTCTTGTTCCTGGCCCTGGCAACCAGTGATCCATTTTCTGACATTATAGTTTTGCCTTTTCTAATTTTTCATACAAATAGAATCATAAGATAATGTAATATACAGCATGATGACTATAGTTAATAGTACCATATTGAGTACTGGATATATATTTTTTTAACTTGTAAGGAGATGACATGTTAATTTGACTGTAGTAATCATTTCACTATGTAAAAGGCATTGTTTCTGTACATACTAGTAGTCTTCCTGCATCTTCAATTTATTATTTACAATATATTCCTAACCTACTTATGAAAGAGGCTTACAAAAAACACACATAGAATAGTCTATAATGAAGATTGTAGAAGATATTCAAAATCACAGAACAGCTTTTTATTAAGAATGCTATTTCCAGTTGACTACATGTTTAGAACAAACTCTACCTTCAAACCGCTGTTGCTAAGACCATATTAACATAATCAGGATACAGCCTGCCAGATTATAATTGCATTTACAATGCTAGATTCTGTTATAAACTATGAATTGCCATCATGTACGTTCAGTAGGGCTGACTCTCATTCTCTCTATCTTTTTTTATTTATTCATTCAACATTCATTGAACTTTCCCTGTGCCACCGGCATTCTGGGAAGCACATCCGCAGCATGAGCCAAGCTCATTCTGCAATTTTCCTGCATCCGGTGGCCTCCTCTGGCAGGAAAGAAATTTTTCAAAGATATATGACATAATGATGAGGTGCTGACATTTCTGTTTTGTTAACATTGATGAGCTCAGAGAAATTTCCCCTGTGTTCTCTGCCTTTTAAAAAATGAGCTTAGTGAGTAGAAGGAATATGAGCAATCAAAACAAAACCAATAGAGTAAATACTTGATGTAGGAAATTGCTTCAGTTTTTTGAGGGGATTGGGGAAAGCAGAGGAAGTAAGTTTGCATTGGCTAAAAGGACAGAAAAATATTAGACAAGTTATGAGGAAATAATAATGAATCTACTCACTGTTCCTGGGGAAGGGTTATACAAAGAGTGGTTTTGCAGTCTCTCCTAAAAAAAGAGGGAAAAATCAAGTCATTAAGTGAAGACTCCTACCACCCAAAGTATCACTATTCCTTCAATGACTATTGATAAGAGCATTATTATTACTGTATCAAAGTGAATTGGCCCCCAAATGATCACTTTCTTTAGGGCTTTGATTATTCATACTGGGAGAGCTTCTACTCAGTGCCCTCATCTGGATGGTGGGTAGACTACATGCTTCAAAGGGGGTAGGCACCCTGGTTAACACACAAGCACAAACTCTAAAATGTTATTCCTTCAAATACTTGATTAACATTTAATGATTTTACAAGGAAATATTTATATGTAATGTTTAAATTCTGGTGCAAATTAACATGAAAGCCCTTTGCCTTGGAAGCAGAGCCCATTTGGATATGCTATGCTAAGGTTGTCAAGCACTCTCAGCTTTGCAGAGAAGGAGCTAGAGGAAGTTGGTGAGAGCAAGAGTTGGTAGGTTAGCTGGGGTCTCCAAGGTTATCAAGAAAAAGACAGAAAATCCTGGCCAAAGTGAATGCTTTTGAAAATGACAGAGAACAAAAAAGCCACTGAAATCATAAAAGCTGATTGTTTACATAAAAGAAAGTAACTCCAAGTAGATTTCATTTTTCTTTCTTATTGTTATTACTTATACTTAGCTTTCCATTCAAAGCTTCCTAGTCTATGCTTGATCTGCAGCGCCAAACACATTTAACGTTAAGTAGTTAGCTTCAGTATAAAATTAGTCACTATGTAATTACTGGAAAGACAAGTTCATAGCTGTAAAAGAAACGACAGAACTCTTTAAAACTCCTTCCATGCTGAGGAAATGTTTGTTCCTTCCAGGGTATCATTTTTTCAAACTGCTTTTCAGACTTCCTAGATTTTGTGGAGATTTTCAAAAACAAAGCAAGGTTTCAAATGGTTATGTGAAATTTTATAATTTGCTAGAGGATATATTTCTTATTTATTCCTTCTTATTTTTTTATATCACTGCCTCCAAATTCGATTTTACCCACACTGTGTCACTGCAGTTATGAGTGAAACATTTGTTTAGTAAATATTTATTGAATAACTTGCAGTCAACATAGTATCTCACAAATAGTCAGTGCTCAATAAAAAAAAAATAATAAGTTGGCTACATCTGGAATGTGTGTTTATTCTGAGGGCACCTCGTAGCTCTTTAAAGATACATGAAATGCAGATTCTACCTCCAGCTAGGATCTAGAAAATAGAAAAGTCCATGTGAGTTGTATAGAAAACCATCATGGAATTCAGAGCAAGAAGAACACTCCCTTATGGGGGGTTTCAGAGAAGTACTTCTGATAAAGGAGGCCTTAGAGCTTGAACAAGAAAGATGTCTAGAATTCAGGTCTCTGGATACATAGCAAAGGGTCACAGTGGGCTGAGGGAACATGAGAGAACATAAGCAGAGACGTGAAATGTGTATGGGCACTTCAGTCCCAGCTTTAGGTAAAGAATTATAGTCTACTAGAGGCCCAGTGTATGAAATTCGTGTGTGGGTAGAGTCCCTAGGCCTGGCTGGCGATCAGGGCCGATCTGTGGGGTGACCGGTGGGGTGATCAGGGCCCCCCCACTCGTACCCACCTTGGCTGGCCTGGTGCTGCCCACTCGCCAGCCCTGTCCTCCACCTCTGCTGCTGGTCATCTCCCTCTGAGGGGTGACTGGCAGAGTGATGGGGGGGCCCCCACTGGCACCCGCCTTGGCTGGCCTGGGAACTGCAGGCTGGGGGCAGCTCCTGCATTGAGTATCTCCCCCTGGTGGTCACTGTGCATCATAGCAACGGGTCCTTCTGCCAGTCGTTCTGCTGTTCAGTCAATTTGCATATTAGGCTTTTATTATATAGAATGCTACTGAGAATGAAAAAAGGAATAACATAAAAGGCAAGAGAGAAAATTATCAATCCAATATTCAATTTAAAATGTTTCATTCCTTCAACTAGCATTGAGCACCTATTAGATCTATGAACTGATTATACAAAGACCAGTAAAACAAAATTTTTATCCTTGAATTTTTCATAGTTTAGTGGTGAAGACCAACATATAACTCAATGTTTTCAATATAAGTACTATGTTAAAGTAGACAGAGAAGGAGCATATAACTCTGACTGGGGAGGAAAGTCAAGGAAAGCTTCTTTAGAATATAAAATGAAACTTAACCTTGAAGGTGAAAAAGCAATTAACAGGTAAGTGAAAAGGCGTGGCCAGGGAGGCCTCAGACACAGTGCTGGGGCTGCAGGTGCAGGCAGTGAAGTAAGGTTTCTTACAATTCTATTTCCACACACTCCATCCAACATACATGATTAACTACAAACCCATTTAAAGTTTGCTTTATCAGCACTTGCTTTATAAATAAACTAGAGGCCCCATGCACAAATTCATGCACCAGTGGGGTCCATTGGCCTGGCCTGCAGGATTGGGCCGAAACTGGCTCTCCGACATCCCCTAAGGGGTCCCAGATTGCGAGAGGGCACAGACCAGGCTGAGGGACCCCACTGGTGCAAAATCAGGGCCAGGGAGGGATGCGGGAGATTGGCAAGCCAGGGAGGTACCGCAGGAAAGCTCTAGGGCAGTGGTTCTCAACCTGTGGGTCGCAATCCCTTTGGTGGTTGAACAACCCTTTCACAGGGGTCACCTAGCACCATCCTGCATATCAGATATTTACATTATGATTCATAACAGTAGCAACATTACAGTTATGAAGTAGCAACGAAAATAATTTTATGGTTGGGTCACAACATGAGGAACTGTATTTAAAGGGCCAGAAGGTTGAGAACCACTGTTCTAGGGCATGTTCAGCCCGTCTTGCTCAGTCTCGATGGGCCAGACCCCAGCACCAAGCTAACCTGCTGGTCGGAGTGTCTACCCGCTGTTGGTCAGTGCACATCATAGCAACTGGTTGACTGCTCCCTGGTGGTCAGTGCACATCACAGTGAGTGGTTGAGCAGCCTTAGCATATCATTAGCATATTATACTTTGATTGGTTGAATGGATGATCAGATGATTGGACACTTAGCATATTAGACATTTATTATATAGGATAGGACATTAACATTTCATTCATTCAACAAATATTTATTAAGCCAAGCTCGTCCACACAGTGTTCTCTGCTTTTTAAATTCCTTCCTAGCTTTTCTCATGTAGTTTTCTCTCCCTGGCTTGGCAATCTTCTCCATCTCCACACACCAAACTTTTACCCATCCACCAAGGCCCATCTATTCAAAGCCATAATTTTAGTGGGACCTTTGTTAATATCTCAAAAAAAATTATTTCTACTTACCCCATACGCTTTCCTTGTCTTACATTGTTATACTACATTTTTATTTCTATAATTATGTTGATACCAAAATTCAATAGAATATTGTGATTTGTTTCTCTTTTTATCCTGTATAAGACTAGAATGTTTTACACCACCAACTTTTGCTGAAGTGAATTGACAAGATTATTTCAAGAATAAATCAAGTATATATGTGGGGTCTATATTTATAGGTCTATAAATAAATGTAGCATATATTTGTATATACAGATCCTTATATAAACATCAACTGACAGACACAGCCATTTCAGTACATAGAGACAGCACCAGGGCAAGTGCGAGCCAATTGGGCACTGGGTGACCTTGTGCTTGCTGAGGAAAAGTAATTAAACATGGGCAAGAGAGATCCTATGAAGCCAAGAGACAAAATGTCATTGTATGCTTTCTTTGTGCAAACTTGCTCGGAGGAACACAAGAAAAAATACCCAGATGCTTCAGTCAACTTCTCAGAGATTTCTAAGAAGTGCTCAGAGAGGTGGAAGACCATATCTGCTAAGGAGAAAGGAAAATTTGAAGAGATGGCAAAGGTGGACAAGGCCCATTATAAGAGAGAAGTGAAAACTTATATCTCTCCTAAAGGGAAAACAAAAAGGAAATTATAGGATCCCAAGGTAACCAAGATGCCTCCTTCAGCCTTTTGTTTGTTTGTTTTGATCTGAGTATCGCCCAAAAGTCAAAGGAGAGCATCCCGCCTATCCACTGGTGACATTTCAAAGAATCTGGGAGAGATGTGGAATAACCCTGCTGCAGATGACAAGCAGCCTTATGAAAAGAAGGCTGCTAAACTGAAGAAGAAATATGAAAAGGATACTACTGCATACCAAGCTAAAGGAAAGTCTGATGTGGCCAAAAAGGGAGATGTCAAGGTTGAAAAAAGCAAGAAAAAGAAGAAAGAGGAGCCCTAACTGGTTTGGCTCAGTGTATAGAGCATTGGCCTGTGGACTGAAAGGTCCCAGGTTTGATTCCAGTCAAGGGCATATACCTTGGTTGTGGGTACATCCCCAATAGGAGGTGTGCAGGAGGCAGCTGATTGATGTTTCTCTCTCATTGATGTTTCTAACTTTCTATCCCTCTCCCTTCCTCTCTGTAAAAAAAGTCAATAAAATATATTTAAAAAGAAGAAGGAAGAGGAGGAAGATGTAGAGGATGAGGACAAAGATGAAGAAGATGATGAAGATGAAAGTGATGATAATAAATAAGTTGGTTGTAGTGCAGTTTTTTCTTGTCTATAAAGCATTTAAACCCCCTCCTCCCCAACACAATTCACACCTCTTCTTTTTTTTTTTCAGAGAGGAAGGGAAAGGGAGAGAGAGATAGAAACATCAATGATGAGAGAGCACCACTGATTGGCTGCCTCCTGCACAACCCCTACTGGGTCGAACCTACAATCTGGGCATGTGCCCTAGACCAGAATCGAACCCGGGAACCTGCAGGCCGACACTCTGTCCACTGAGTCAAACCGAATAGGGCAATTCACTCCTTTTTTTAAAAAAAATTGAAACGTGAAAAAAAATGTCTACTGACATATGTAAAAACAAAATGCACCTTCAGCAAAATTTTCTATAGTATTTTTACTACTTTTCTCCATAGTTTTGATCTGTACAATGAACTAGTGATACTAGAGAATAAAATCTTGGAAAGCATGCTAGAAGGGTGTTAATACTGAATAACTTCAAATATATGACATTATAAAAAAGATTAAACTATAGGGAAAAAAAGAATGTTGTCCTAGTCTATGGTCGGCAAACTGCAGCTTGCGAGCCACATGTGGCTCTTTGGCCCCTTGAGTGTGGCTCTTCCTACACCTTAGGAGTATCCTAATTAAGTTAATAACAATGTACCTACCTATATAGTTTAAGTTTAAAAAATTTGGCTCTCAAAAGAAATTTCAATCATTGTACTGTTGATATTTGGCTCTGTTGACTAATGAGTTTGCCAACCACTGCCCTAGCTGGTTTGGGTAGAGTATCAGCCTGTGGACTGAAGGGTCCCGGGCTTGATTCCAGTCAAGGGCACATGCCTGGGTTGTGGGCTCTGTCCCCAGTGTGAGGCGTGCAGGAGGCAGCTGATCAATGATTCTCTCTCATCATTCATGTTTCTATCTCTCTCTCCCTCTCACTTCCTCTCTGAAATCAATAAAAAATATATTTTTTAAAAAGAATGTTGACCGGTTTCAGGGTTTATGGATGGGGTATGAAGTTTGACTGCAAAAGGGATATGGGACCACTTTTGGGATGATGAATGTGTTCTAAATTTTAACTATAGTGGTGATTGCATGACCTGGTATATTTACCAAAACTCACTGACTTTATTTTCAAATGTGTGCTTAATAGTATGTAACTTATACTTCAATAAAGTTATTTTAAAACATATATTATTCTAAATATATATCCCCAAGTTTAAGCCTGGTCCCCTGAACACCAAATGTTTTTGTATGTTGACATAGCTTTTGACAAGTTGATGAAGAAATTATAATGCTTATGAGGAAAGATGATATCAAGTAACTTTTATATTATGTAGAAAAAGAATCCATTGGCTCATAAATAACATACTAAATATTTGATGGAAGTTGGAAATCTTATATAACATTTATTCATTTTTACTGAAAACCCATATTCTTGAGACGTGACAAAAACTTCAGCATGACTTAAGGGGAGAACATAGAAAGATACAAGAATCATCACAGCATCCACATATGGGGAATTAGGTACAAGATAAAAAAGAGTGGTGCTGGAAATATTAATACATCAAGAAACTTTTATTTCCTCAAATAAAATGGGAAGAGCTGAAACCAGGGGGGAAAAAAAAAAGGCTGGTGGCCAAGACACTAGAAAATTGATCACTGGAATTTAAATTACCCTAAAATTAACTTTAATACTGCATTCCCAAATTAATGATGAAAGAACATACATTTGAGGTTGCATATGGACAGAACAGTTAAACAGTAGGACAATTATAAAATTGGCACACAGGAAATGACTTCAGGATATTAGAAATGGAAATAGACAAGGGGAAGAAGCTCTGGGGCTCCAAGAAACAAAGGCCAGACATTATGCAGTAATATTCTAATATTAGTCTGCTGATAAAATTCTATTTTCAAATCTCATTACCAAAGAACTCCACAGTACATCCACTTTCTGTTGTCTAGAATTTCATTACAGTGAATGTTCTCTTCCCAGTCAATGGATCTTGGTAAGCAAAATCCTCTCTAGTTTAAGCAAGTTACTGTGAATTATGAATAAAAAAATAAAATCTTCAAAATCAGCTACTTGCTTATAAGGAAATATTAAGTATTCACCTCACCCTTGCTTAGTCACAAAATCTTGTGTGTGTGCTTTGTGTGTGTTAGAAGATTGGGTGGATTTTCCTGAGTTAGTCATGAGATGAAGAAGTCTAGTGTTTGAAGTCAATTATTTATTAGTACTGCCGCTAAAGGGTCCCCCGCTCTTGTCCCTCCTTGCCCATTCCCCCATTTCATTCTGTAACTTCTCAAAATATCTAATACCAAAATGCAACAGTGTAAAGGCCTAGCTCTTTTCTTCAGTTGAAGTTTAATTACTTTAAAGTTTAGTGTCATATTAACTTTGTTAACCCACTTCCACTGGGTCTAAGAGAGAATCAAGAATAAAGGAGAGAAAGGCTTGCTATGGTGGAGCTTGGACTTGGAACCATAGCTCTGGTTCAGGTTCCACTGACTCTTGGACAATTCATAGAAATACATACCCCATGTGTTTTCAGCGCGCTGGGCATGTATTAAGTTTCATTCACTGTAGTGTTTACCTCTTTATTTATCCTCCCCCCATCTCAAGACTGTAAATTCTTCTAAGGCAATGATTATCTTTGTTATCATTGAATCATTCCTACCCAAGACTGAAATAAATGACAGTAAACATGTCATTTCACCTCTTTGAGTTTCATTTTCCCATCTGTAAATTTTTAGGAAAAAACGACTTTTTGTGGTGCTCTTGTAAGGTTTGAGTGTATACAGAAACATAATGAAAAATTCATCATAAGGTAGAAAGTTACATAGCATCTCTTTATTCTAATTATTCAACTCTTAAAACAACTTACTCTATAGCCAATCAGTTCATGTTACAACAAATACCAATGTACTAAATCTATGTACAAGAAAATAATTTCAAGTTCTTTTTGTCAATCTATGTATTCAGATTAGTTAAGCAGATAAATCCAGAAAAAGAAATTATAGAATTTGGTTGATCCTTTCAAATTAGTAGTAACAAAAATTGCCTGGCAGCTAGATTTTTTAAAAATGGCATTTATGTGTAGCTCCACTCTTCCAAAAGCCAGGGATAGAAAAAGCCAAATATGAAATACATATCCCAAAGGAAACTACCAAGTTTTTTTCCTAAAGACACATAGCGAGGTGTCAATTATCTTGCACAAGTGTTGCATGTAAATACAGTCATCAATTTATTCATCTATTCTTCCTTACAGTTCATCCATTCAAACAACATTAAATATTCATTCAATAAATAATGCATTCTACAAATATATTTTGAGCATCTACTAGATGCAAGTTGCCAGTGAAGACAATGACAAGTAAAACATACTCTGTGCCTTAAAAGCACTAAGAAGTACTTGGGGGTAGGGGGGGCAGGAAGGGTATATTCATGAATTTGTGTGCACAGAGCCATGCTATTTATTTCAGTATTTAGTATGTGTGCTACATATATTGCTATAGAGAATTTTGGATATTTATTATAATGCCTTATTTGCAAATATAGTATTTTACTCTAACAAGAACATTAAAAAATTCTTAATATGGACCTTCAATGTCACTTGGAAAGTTACTCCTAGCTCAAAATACCTTCTATGTCAGTCTACCTTAGGGAGGTATTTCCAAGGAAATGCTATCTTTGGGACTAGTTGTCTGTATTAAAGCATTGCAGTGAAAGGTCATTGCTCAAGGTCAATCTGTGACCTACAGATTTCTGAGTTCCTGCCTTAACCCAGCTCTCTTGCTTGAAAAAAAATGACAGTGACAGATTAAATAGTAATAGATAAAAAATAATGAGACAAAATTGGGTTCAGAAGTTAAGTTTCATGTATCAGTGGATCAATTATAAAACAAAAATAGTGGACCTTAAATTTCAACATCATAAACTCCTGGACAGAAGGTAAGTGGTAGAAAAGGGAAACTGAGTTTTAGGGGTACAATGCAGATTAAAATATCTCCATATAAGAGAGGGGACAAGACCCAAACTACTCTAAACCAGGACTCACGTGAGACTCTCCTGCTCATGAGAAGAGGCTGACCATTTATCAACCTGGAGCAGTTACCTTACTGGAAACTCTGCACTTCAGGATAAAGGGTGACAAAGGCAGCCTCACAACCAGCAACTAAGTCAAGCCAGTTTCTAGCTCTGTGACTGGATTCCCAATGTTTACAGTATCATGATGGAAAACAAGTAAAGTGTCATTATAAAACTGTTTATGGACTAGCGTCCTGGGGGGAAGATTGAAAGCAACCAAAAACTTGTCTAAAATAGAAGGGACAGAGGAAAATTTTTAAATCCAATCTCACACTAGGTACAAAAATAAATTTCAGAAGGCCCAAAAAGCCTAGATGAAAAGGAAAAACTAAAACTTCAAAAACAAAATGGAGAATACCTCAGTAAATTCATGGTAGTTTTGCACAACAATAAATAAGTGAAACTGGTTGAGGTCAGAATATAGTTTAAAAGTTGTACCAAGAGATCTTGAAAATATATTGGGTAATAAGAGCTGTCTAGATGTTTCCAACATTTTTGGCTGGAGAAACAGAAAAATAATGTGTAAAACACTGAGTTTGAGAAGATTAGAGAGGGAGCAGGCTAGAGAAAAAATATTAGGAGTTATCTTTGGGCAAATTAGAATTAAAATTCCTATTAGACTTTCAAGTAGAGGTGTGAAATAGAAAGTTGAATATATGTGTCTGAGCTTTGGGGAGAAATCACATCCGGATATAAAAATTTGAACTTTGGAAGCTTACGGATATTACTTAAAGCCATGGAAGTAGATGAAATTGCCTAGGGAGTACGAGTGGGCAGGGAAGATATGCTGAAGAACTAAACCGTAAAGAATCTCATCAATTAGAGAGTGGGAAAAGTAGAAAGAACCAGCACAGGAGACTTAGAATGAGTGGCTAGGAAGACCCAAGGAACCCAAGGAGATCTTGTTCTAGAAACTAACTGAATAATATCAGAGGAAGAGGGAAGGGTAGGGGCTTGACTATATCAGAAATTTCTGAGAAGTCAAGTATGTAAGAACTTAGACTTGACCATGGGTTTGACAATATGGAGAAAAGACTGTTAGTGATCATGGCAAGTTGCAGTGGAGTGAAGGAGATGCAACTCTGGAATGGAATAGAAGAAAGAAAATGAGGAAGTTGAAGCAATAGGTATAGCTAGCTTCCTCAAGGAGTTTTCCTATAAAAAGAGAACAGAGAAATGAGCAGACAGCTGAAAGCAAAGAGCAGGAAGAACTTTTTTTCAAAATGGCATTTGAGTCTAATAGAAATATGTCATCAGAGAGAAAGAAGTCGATGATACAGAGAGAAAGTAAAATTATACAAGTTAAATAAGCAAAAACGGATTAAGATCTAGTCCACAGGAGGGGCATTTGGCCTTCTGTAGGAGAACACTTCTCCTACTGTAGCATATATGCTTTAGATCAATAGTCCAACTTTGTAGAGAGTTATCTATTTTATTCTTAGGTTTGGGTTTTTGGGTTCTCTTTTTAGTTGTAAAATAATGAGATGCCCTGTTGAGTCTTAGAGTATGTGTATCTCCATAAGGAGCCCCACATATGTGGAAATTACACATTCACCCCACGCACCTAAAGTAAGTGTGTGGCTCATGTTTGCAACACTTAAAGCAGGCAATCCTAGGGGAATCACCCAAGCTTTCAATAAAGGATTTCTTCAAATTGATCGCTCCAGAAACTATAAAAAAAAAAGTCACACACAACTCATAGTTCTTTAAGCAGAGTAATCTCAGCTAAATTAAAATTTGATGCAATGTTTAGACGCAGGGGTGGGCAAACTTTTTGACTCAAGGGCCACAATGGGTTCTTAAACTGGACCGGAGGGCCGGAACAAAAGCATGGATGGAGTGTTTGTGTGAACTAATATAAATTCAAAGTAAACATCATTACATAAAGGGGACGGTCTTTTTTTTTTTTTTAGTTTGATTCATTTCAAACGGACCAGATCCGGCCTGCAGGCCGTAGTTTGCCCACGGCTGGTTTAGAGGCTTGAGAAGATGTCCCATGGAGGGTGAGGGGGTGGGGGCGGGGAAATGGAAGGAAATGTCACAGAATGCATGAAACTGAATTTGGGGCCAACACTAATGAGAACTCTTTTAATTTTTTATTTTGGAAAATCTTGAATTTTTCATATATGACACAATGTAAGGCCCCTATACTATAGTGAGCCGATTTTAAAAGTATTTCTGAGTTTCCAATTCTGTATTTTTTCATCTATTTTTATGTGAGATATATATATATATATATTTTCAGATTCATGGCTATAGTTTTAAATAAATAACATATTTTGAAGTCATTACTAGAATAGCATACTCTTCCTTTTACTTTCACTTGAAATAACATAACAGTTTTCTAACAGTTCGTATTGAAGTGATTGGAAAACTACTAAATGTTATAAAAACACCTTATCCAGAACTCTGAAGAAACATTAAATTTTGAAAAATAATATATGCTACATTGCCTTGAAGTTTTAGACTATCTGAGATTTTATTTCAAAGTCAAAAGTTTAACAGTTGCCAATAATGATATGCAATTCAACTTCTATCATTTTTCCCCTCAGAATTATTAAGGTTTAACTTAAGCAGCTTCAAATAATTAAAATTTTCTCTCTACACATAACACTCTAACCAAGCCTGGAATTAATAAAGGTGCTTAATGTTCTTATTATATTTTTACTTCTATATATCACTGAATTAGTCAGCTGGGGCTACCATAACAAAATACCATAGGCTGGGTGGTGCAAGCAACAAGAATATATTTCTCACAATTCTGAAGGCTGGGAAGCCCAAGATCAAAATGACAGCTGATTCAGTTCCTGATGAGAACTCTCTTCCTGGCCTACAGATAGCTGCCTCCTTGCTGTATCCTCAGGTGGCAAATATAGAAAAAGGGTGAGAGGGGGTGGGAGGAAGAGGGGCTAAGGGGTGGGGAAGGAAAGGGAGAGGAAGGGAAAGAAGAAGAGAAAGAAAAAGAGATCTAGTCTCTTTTTCTTTTCTTACAATCCCATCCTTCATGACCACAGCTAACCCAAATTACCTCCCAAAGCCCCCACCGACCCACCAAATATCATTACTTTAGGAGGTAGGGCTTCAACATATGAATTTTGAGGGAACACAAACATTCAATCCATAAAACTCAACTTCTCATTTAATTAAGCAGAACAAAATATTGTGTCATTGCTAAGACATGTGAGCTGTCAGAGAGTACTTTGTCAAGAGCCTTCACATTGTGGCCATTTCTATGCACTTCTGTCCAAGAGTCAAACTAAGCAACCATGAGCACGGTATGAGGGCTTCTTCATAAAAACCATGGTCCTCACTGGGCCCCTAACCAAAGCATTTAACATCAGGCCAGGTACTTCAGGACACATTGGAAGAATATTTTATATGAGTGCTGTAATTGTACAATGCTTCATATAGCCTACTGCCTAGGTGAGTGAAGGTGGGGGGTGTATTTTCCTTTAATTTAGCCTTCAGATGGGCAGTAAATGAACCCAAAGACTAAAGTTTACTGAGCTGATAATTCAAGTAGTTACTTTTTTTTTTTCATTGAGCAGAAAGGAAATAATTTTATCATGTGCAAAACACAAGGGTTGGTTTAAGATCTTAAGAAATAAATTGGACCCGTAAATGGCTGACTTTTCTTGTCATCCCTTAAAAAAAATAGTTCCTTACGCTTGGAGACCTAAACCACAATATTGGTTTAGATCATTTTCCATAGGCCCACAGCCTTCAGATTAAACAGAAGTGAAGTAAAATAGCTTTTAAACATTAATGACTCCAAGCAATGTCAGGGCAGAACAAATAACTGGAAGGCAGATCCAGGTTTCACACACTGTTCTGGAAAAGACGCCCAAACAGCAGTTCAGCAAGGACCGCCTCTCTGCGCCCTGGGTTGTTTTCATTGCCTTTATGCTTATGTTTAGATGGAATAACAAAGAATGCAATGCATGATTCTGCCGGACGATTAAAAAATGAGAGACTTTATATGCGAAAACACTCCCATAAATATAGATAGAGAAAGATGCTCTGGACGAAAAAAAGTGAATATGTGGAAAAGAATAAGAACAACAAATAAAAGAGGACATGACTAGATTAGCTTGTACCAGTGCATTAATGGAACCTAAAGTTATTTTCACACCAAATCCCATCTCTATTTGTCTCCCTGTCACTCTCTCCATGTTGACAAGTCAGCCTTGACTAAGATTATTAACCCTGGAATGGCTAAGCATTCTTGAAGTAGGGTGTGAGAACAAAAGAAGCTGAAACTGTTCAGAGCTATAAGTATAGCTGAAAATGAAGAGTTCAGTCCATCAATGCACTTTCCCTAATGGAAGTGTGATGTCTGAGGTACACATTTGCAATGAAACATAAAAATGCAAGAAATCTATGCCTCTAAAAAATTTTCTAATTTAGAAAATTAGAGGCAATGTTTACAGAGTGGAGTCTATCTATATCTGAAAGGATACTGAAAAGGCCTCCATATGTTCTTTCTTTAAAAATGTTAATATTTCCTAAGTTTCTTTCCATTGAGCACCACATTTCTAAAGGCCCAGCTGCAGACTGGAGGCTCACCCAACATTTAGGAGCACTTATTGGAACTCTACGCTGCTCGGTGCTGAGGAAATTTTTCTTGAAGGACTAGGCTGCTGTACCATAGGTGCCAGTAATTTCAAAGAGAAGCCAAATTAGCTTGTCAGGCTGAACAATGAAGAAGTGGTGACACCTATGGGGAAAGGGCAGAGGGAGGTCGAAAACAAAATATTGGTTTTTCAGCTGCAGTAGGCACTCAAGATATGGTGAAATGTATTAAAGTCAATGTTCAGAAAGAATTCCCTTTAGAAATAAAGAAGATTCCATTCATATTTATGGAATTTTCTGACCAACAAGGTAATCCAACAGTGGAAAGAGCTAGAAGAGGATGATACGAAAACTCCTTCTAATATATTTCTAAGAGGATAGAAGCTTTCTGTCTGGAAGCTTGTGATTCCACTACCTAAGAGCAGATGGTTGAACCAGACTATTTCTAATATATATATTTATTTGTATAAGAAGGTCTGGCTCTGGGAAAGATGGAGTAGGCACACTCCATCTTCTCTCTCTCACACAGAATGCAACTATAATATAACAACTGGAACAGCTGTTTGAGAGCTCTACAAAGGAAAGAATAGCAGGTAGATTGGGAAAGAAGACAAGAGTTCAAAGTACCACCAAGCTTGTAATGAGTTTATACTTTTGTTAAATCCCTCAACCAGAATTCAGGTTAGCCAGAAACCCTGAAGTGGAAAAACTAAGGAGTGTCCTGATACACAGAAGAAGTAGGAGGAAAAGTCTTCTATTCTTTATTCCCCCTGTAGATTTGGATGCCCAAGACCATTTTCAAATGTTACTCTTTGGCTGGTAGGAACAAGTTGGCAAGAGTTAGTAGCCTGAGCCCTGGCTTGGTGATTAGTCAGATTTAGTTTTAAATGGTAGCTGTGCCACTCAAAAGTTCAGTAACCTTGATAATTACATAATTTCTCTGAGATTCCTTTTCCTCGTCAGCACAACAATAATAATACATTATAAGGCTTATATGCAAGTCATACTTCTGTGTTGCTAAAGGCTTTATCTGCAGGAAAATTCAATGTTTCTGAATTCATGTATAAAATGGAATACAAGTTATTTTATAACTTCCCAATTCAAGGTGTCATTTATGTCATTTCTTCAATCAAATGTCATGGGCTAAAGTTTTCAGGAAAATGTACAGATATAATTCTCAGTCATGTTACTCTAAGGTTAATTCTCTAGTTTCTTTTCCTGTGCCCACACAATAAGGTCAAATACACAAGTTCCTTTGATTAAAATCTCTGGTTGCCCTTGGCATTTAGATTGCCCTAGACATTTTAGTTGCCTCAAAATTCTCAAGCAGATTTTATTCTGCTTCTAGTCAAAATGGCAGAATAGGTAAACTCTGTGCTCACCTCCTCCCAAAACCACATCAAAATTACAGTTAAAGTATAGAACAACCATTATTGATAACCACATGAAGATGGTGGACATAAAAGGAGCCACATACTAAACCCAACAAGCTCAGGGGAGGCCTGCATGGTGGGCCTTGCAAATTCAGAGACCTAAAGTAACGACATAGGATGGTCTGAAATTAAAATTTTCTAACTAGCACTGGCCAGTGTGTTCAGTTGGTTGGAGTGTCAAATCCTGTGCACTAAAAGGTCATGGATTTGATTCCTCAACAGACACATACCTATGCTGCAGGTTCCATTCCCTGTCAAGGTGTGTACAGGAGGCAACCGATCGATGTATCTCTCTCACATCAATGTTTCTCTCTCTCCCATCCTCCGTCTCTAAAATTAAATTTTTTAATTTTTTTCCCTTTATTAAGATATTACAAATGTGTCCTTAGCCCCCCAATGTCCTCTCATCCCCCCAATCCTGCGCTCACCCTCACCCCCTGTTGTCCACATCCATCACTTATGCTCATATGCTTGCATACAAGTCCTTTGGTTGATCTCTCCCCCTCACCCCCACCCTCCCCTACCTTCCCTCTGAGTTTTGAGCATCTGATCAATGCTTCTCTGTCTCTACATCTGTTTTTGTTTATCAGTTTACGTTGTTCATTATAATCCACAAATGAGTGAGAGCGTGTGATATTTATCTTTCTCTGACTGACTTATTTCACTTAGCATAATGCTTTCTTAGCTCCATTCATGTTGTTGCAAATGGTAGGAGTTCCTTCCTTTTTATATCAGCATAGTATTCCATTGTGTAGATGTGCCAATGTTCATAGCAGCACAATTTACAATAGCTAAGATTTGGAATCAGCCTAAGTGCCCATCAGCAGATGGAATAAAATTGTTTATAAAAATTAAAAATTTTCTAACTAAAAGTGAGTCATAGCCGAAACTGGTTTGGCTCAGTGGATAGAGCGTCAGCCTGCGGACTGAAGGGTCCCAGGTTCGATTCCGGTCAAGGGCATGTACCTGGGTTGCGGGCACATCCCCAGTGGGAGATGTGTAGGAGGCAGCTGATCAATGTTTCTCTCTCATCGTTTTTTTTAACTCTATCTCTTTCCCATCCTCTCTGTGAAAAATCAATAAAATATATTAAAAAAATAAATAAAAGTGAGTCATAGCTAGTAGTCATGTCCTAGGCCAGTATCTTCCATGACAAAGGTCAATCTTCATCTTAACTGAGCCTGTCTTAACTGAGCCTATCTATAGTCTTTTTGCATCTACAATAACATACCTTTGCAATGTCAGAGTATTCTCCTTTTCCAGATTCCTCATAGCACAATCTCCTGCGAGAGCAGGAGACCACAGAATCCCTCATTGTTATTGTTATCATGTTAACTGTTAACTATACTAAACCCACAAATGTAAAAGTATGTATTTGTTTTACTTTTTATCCAATCCCAGATTCCCCCACTTTACTTTCTCCTGCCCCCCTAAACTATCACTAATTTAATGTAATCTCTTAGCCTCCTCCTTTGATTGGAATGTATAAAATAAGGTGCAAAACTGCCATTCTCTGGAGTATTTTCTCAGTCCTTTGAGACTATACTTCCCGGCAACTGTCTTCAGTTTGGCTCAAATAAACTCATAAAAATTCTCTACAGGTTTAAATGTTTCTTTGACAAGACTACCTGAACAGAATTCCTAAAACTAAGGATATAAAGAGTCACCATATCAAAGACAGTATAAGGGACAGAGACACAAAACAGGCAGGTCCCACACTCAGGGTGTGGCAATTAAAAATCTGGAGGGATTACTTGCCTGCAGAGGTCCCCCCGAGGAGTAGATGGCCCCCGTCTCACACCAGTGAGACCAGCGCACCAGTACCAGGAATAGGAGTCTCCATAACATCTGGCTCTGAAAATTAGCAGGGATTACACCCAACAAGGACAAGGGGCTACTGAAGACTGAGGCAAACATCTTAAGGGGCCAATACACAGACTCACCCACAAATTCACTAACTATAGGCTCCAGCACAGGGGCAGCTGCTTACACAGCACCAGGAACACACAAGGAGGAACTAAATTGACTAGTTTTGGGGTGAGGCTGGAGAGACAAGGGTCAACGCAGCTCTCTCTGGGGATGGAAGTGCTGGCAGGTGCTATTGTTCACTTCCCACCACCGAGCCAACCCAGTGCAGATATCAAATCTGTGCTATCCATTACCTTGGCTAAAACCGTTCTGCCTGGTGATTCCCTGAGACACTGCCCCACCCAACTCACCAGCTGGGTCCAAGGCTCTTCCAGCAAGTCCTCCACACAAATATCCTGTCTCAGCTCTCACTGAAGATTTCCCCCAAATCTCTCAGGGTCGAAAAATCCCAAACAAGCATCAGCCCACCTCAGTATGCCTTGTCACTCTTGCTAAGAGGCTCTGAGCTCAGCACAAGGGATAGCAGGTCTCAGTTTGCATTGTAACTCCCATCAGGTGGCCCTAAG